ATGTATGTATGTATGTATGTATATATATATATATATACCGTTCGGTAACGGGCGGTCCGTGTATCGGTCAACTGACGGACCGATACGTACCGTCCAATACGGACAGTATTATTCGAAACTGTATACCTTGCTTTAAAATAGTGGCATGACTCATTAAATTTTAATACAATTTTCTTGTTTCTACGGACTATAATGTTATAGTGAAATTGTTAGAATGATTTGAGGACCTCTCATTCATTGCATAAAGTTATCAATGTCATTTCTCATGAATTGGCAAAGATAATTGAATCATTTACTTCTTGCTGGCATTGAGAATCTTTGCTTTCACAATTTTTGCGTTTTTATTTGATGTTCTAAATTCTCTCTTTTCTACGTTCATGAGCAAAGCTAACTAAAATCAGGCATAAAAATCTTGACATCGGACCTAAAATCTTTGTTGTTCTGGTTGAAATTGGAGTGAACTTTAGCGAGCTACAAGCAATCTGCTTGCCGTTAACATGGTTTATTGTCAATTGTTATCAAAAGTAAATTTTAGTCTCTGTTCTAAGGGTCACATATTTAGGCACTACCACTAGGGTGATCTCATTAAGTTTGACTTACTAGCGTCATCGGCCACTAGTTCAGAACGATTCTCCAAATTTGACTTTTTGAAATAGACTATGCAAAATAAATGGCTGGATTATGCTCAAGTTGATTAGACCCTGACTGATCTAAGACAAGGTCTTTGTGTGTTCTGATTGATCTTTTACGGACTAAACCAAAACAGTCTGACCTGTTGCGAACAACTGGCATACTTGTTAAACTACATCCCTGTTACTCTGTTCCCTCAATGCCGAGGCATGGTGTTTGAAACTCTGACCTCTGTTGATGCTTTTTAGTCGCTTTCACCATTCATATCACCTAAATTTTATTGTTTGCTCTGTGATTACAAGCTTTTGCAAATTTGCATGCATAGTTGTGCTTCCATGTCAAACACCCGCTGGCTTGTGTGTAATCTTTATTCTTATTGCCTACTCATATCTACTTGATATATCTACTTTGTGATTGCATCACATCCTGAAAGCTTATCTTTTGAATTGTCTGTTCACTTTTTTCAACCTCTTACTGTTTCTGCAATTTCTAATTACAGGGAAGACAAGATTGAGAACACAGCACCTGAAATTTGAAAGCTATACAAATGATGGCCTCAGAAATACAGATTCATCCAACCGATAGGCCATCCAGTGATTGGAAACTTCTACACGATGAGACAATTTTGTTAGATAAGTTTCTTAGCGTGTTACTTGTTATTAGTTGCAGAGTGAGGATAGTGCGTCTAGATCTAAGGTCGCGACTGCATTTTTGTAAGGTTCTTTGTGCTATGGAGGATTTTGTTTTTAATATTTGATAGCATCATTTGACATATTCTAAGAATGTCATCTGTCTTTGATTCCAAATTGTAGTTGAATGTCAACATTTGTGCTCTCTGAGCCTGACCGTGCCATCATGTGACATTCCAGACAATTTCATGCTATTAAAATCTATTTCAGCTAGCTTTGCTGCTTAATATTGATGCATCTTTTACTGACGTATATGCTTATTGGCTTTGCTTGGAGGAAGATGGTATACTATGTCCTTATCAAGATTAGATTGTGTGTAAATGTGGATCAAGTTATCATAATCAGACTTTGCTGGTCATGAAATGCATGAAAAGTATAGAGAGTGGATTAGATGTTACATATTTGTCTGATGGTTTGCTTGTTCCAGTGTTCTTAATTGTTCGCCAGTTTGCTAAACGTTGTGCCTTACCCACCTATCGGTGGCAGATGGTATCTAACAGTTAGGACATGAATCAGTAGCAGATGGAAGAAAATGATGTATAATGGCACTGCAATAGTCCAGTTTCCATAATAAACTGGTTTGAGATCACGAACAAACCTGTTGTTTCTGTTCTTTACCCAAGAAGTTGTCGGATTGGCCGATCATAAACAAACTTGCAGTGTTGGAACCAAGAACATCAGGTATGAACAATGGGAATCTGAAATGGATCTGCAGATAAAATCTCAGTTATCATCAAATTCCAAGTCCTGTTGATCCAATCTAAACTTAAGATACAAGACAAACTTTAAGACCTAAACTGCAAATACAGCTCACGGCAAAAAATTTATCATCGCATGTTTCCTTCTCGCAAGACATCGATCATGTCATATATTCTTTTGTCAGCCTTGGACTGGACCTGCATTGATGCAACAATATCAGAATAAAACCAAAATGAGGACTTAATATCTTAAGATATGGAAAAAGCAATAAGACCTTCTTGAACAGAAAAATGGCAGCATCAATGGTTCCCTCGGCATAGATTGCGCGACCACAGACGTTATGCTGGAACTCAAAAGAAACTCTGCTCCAAGAACCAAATATGAAACACATTATGCAAATGGAGTTGGAGAAGCACTTCAGAATGTAGCTGCTCGAGTCACAGGAAGATTTTATTACGTTTCATCAGGTGATGTGAGATGATACATGTGAAATGCATGACCAGAGAGGTGCTCTTCGGGGACACCCACCATCTCAAGTTGCTTCTTAGGGTCTCTGATCTATTTAATCTGTTAACCACAGAGTGTATCAAATACATGTCAGCTAGAACCATGGCACTTGCTGTCAGATGTGCTGGAAAGAGTCGCCTACAAGTTTAGAAAAACAGTTTTCAGGGAAGCTTCGAAAGAGATGGGTAAAAAATATTATGTCCATGAATTATGGATCTAAAGTTTTCAATAAAACATACATCAAAGCTTAAATATGGAAGAAAAGTTTAATTCAGCCGCAAAACAAGCGCTTCAACTCAGAAAACTGATTTGCTTCTCTAAAGTGCACTGAGTGTAACCAGCAGCTAATACTTTGATCAAAGCATGAATCACAAAGTATGTAGACCCTTATATTAATGTGTGTCTACCTTCCAACTAAAAAGACAATGCTTCACTATAACTAACCTGCTTCATGTCAAATGTGACACCAAGTTTCTGAAAACATGAAATGACAGCTTTAGCTGTGCCAGAAGTATCCAGTTTGCTTGCTTGGTGCGACTCCATCACCTGTTAATATGCTAGTTTTAAGATAATTAGTCAAATGTTCTAGATGATGACCACATGCCTCACATCTTGATGACAAACTTAACAAACAGATCCATAATCCCATTATCATTAACTATTTTAGAATTCCCAGTATTTCCAAAAACACCTAAGAATTAACAAGAGAACCACTTCTATTACTATCATGGAAACTCTAAAATTTAACAATTGACAGAATTTGAGTATTCGAAATCCACAGCCATATTCAACATCATGTGCACTGTGGTTTTTCACAAAGCTTGCATGTCCATTCTGCTTATTGCAATGTCAGAAGCACAAAAAATATACTTATTAAAATACAATTGTTGTTTCAATATTTTCAGACAGAGAATTGGCATCAAATTCCATTTTGTATAAAGATCCAATTTTGACCCTTAAATTAACAGTAAAAAAAGATTATCACAAGGGTTCCACTTCTTTTAGCACAACTTACTGGAAACAAAACTAGAGCAATTTGATACCCAAATCATGCAGGAGTAAAAAAAAAAACATCACTATCACATTTAAATATTTCAAATCAAATATTTCACTGCTGACCATAATCTCCATGCATTTCACAATTTGCGAGCATGGATGCAAATCGAAACATCTCAACAGGGCTTGGCTTGCAAATACTAGAAAACCATCACCGCGAACATCGGGATCTCAAATAATGATCAATATGGTGCATGCTGACCAGTATTATAGGTCTGATGATGTATTTTTTATTTTTTTGATTGATACCAGATAGTACATACCAGTGTACTGTCCTTAAACCAAATAGCATACCAATCCCATAGATAACAAAAACTAGTACAGTACCAAGATTTATAACCTTCATGAACACATTTCTAAGATGAACAGAAAATCATAATTTACACAGGTTAGCAAATTTAACAATCTCTCTCAACACAGGTGGACTGTGAACTAATTCATTATTTGACAACTTGGTTTGGAAATCTGTTTATAATTATCTTGTGAGTTTTTCTGTCAAAAAGGTAAAGTAGAATAAACAAGTCATAACAAATTTGTTTACAATTGTAACAACTTACACTTTTCCTAGTTAAACATAAGAGAAACTACTCAGTCCTCTTTCTGTCTTAGTGCAATTTTCCTTTGTGCTCTTGGAAATTGTAACAATGTGAAGATTTTACATATACCTCAAGCGTATAGCCCGAAAATGCTCCAGGAAACTGATCGGCCATGATATCCATGGTTGCAAGAAATGCTACAACCTAATAAAACAAGAAAGACTGAATTATGGGTTAACTATTTTTAGGGATTCTACTTAATATAAAAGATTGACAACACATCTTTTCAGATAAATTTTGTTAAACACCTGTTTTCCCATTTGCGGAGAGATTACTGCATAAACATTTGCATCTTGGACTGTTTTGTACAACATTTGCCTGTCTCCACCAGTAGTCCCCATAAGAAAAGGGATACCAAGTTTTCGGTAAAGATCAGCATTGACTGCATTATCAAAAAGCAGGTGACATAGTGAGATGAAATCACTCAACTAGTACATAAAATGGAACCATCACAAGAGTCACGAAACAAGAAATAAATGTAACAAAAGACTTTCAGGCCCTCTTTACTCAACAAAAAAGTTAAATTACCACAGCCATAATTCATCCAAGATCAAGCATGTTTCTGTCAGTCGGCTATATGTTCCTTGTGGTATGCCAAAGGCTGATGCAATAATATTGGGCATAATAAAGCTAAAGACTAAAGATTCTATGCTCTAACGAAGAAAGATGTTCTGACTTATGTTCCCATAGGTATCCAGACAAACAGGATTGGAGAGTAGTAACAAACACATTAACTACTAAAAAACGAAGTATATAGTATATACCGTTCACAGCATCAGGCACTGTATAATCCACCACAATAACATCAGGGAACTCATGAAAGACAGAAGAAAGAACACTTTCTCTTTCAGATGGACCATGTATTTGAATCTCAGTATTGCCTACTTTTAAAGTTCTACCAGGCTTCTCTAAATATACTGAATGACACAGGAACTAACTGAAGTCCAGCAGAAATCGCTGCTTCTGCAACAGCTCTCCCCATTTTTCCAGTGCATCCATTTACCTGTCCAGAGTATTATCTTTGGCAATACAGGGCGTTCAGTGCCAATAGCTATGCTGGCATAGTGCAGGCTAGCATATAGTTAGCAAACCTACAAGCTAAGAGCATCCTATCCTTGTTAGAGTATGTTGTGCTAATAAATATATTATATTAAACCAAGTATTGTGTTAACATCTAACATTTTTTTAAGTGATGGAAGCAACAGGAAGCATCTAATGAAGCATGAAGACTTTAATATGATTACAATATCCATGTCAGACAACTTTACTTGATAGATACTCCCCAACATGTTCAATGCTTCAAAACTTACATAGGACAAATGTATCATCTGCATATGTATTGTTAAGGTAGAGTACAAATGTAGGGCATGTATCTCATCTACATTAAAGCTCATGAACAAGAAACATATTTGCAAGATGTATGTATCTTACAATCTTGACTTACTATTTATGTCAACAACATCCTAAATGCTTTTATATTTGAATTATTTTTCTTAAAGCTTAATCACATGAATGGTATACTACATCTCATAATATACATATATGACATCGTGGATTGTCTGAGCAGCACAACATATATCTTTATATATATAATTACGTAAATATATAACATACATTCATTGATTGTCATGTCCATACATTGTTGTGCTCTATCTTCCCTAAAATTTGACATCCTGACATACTTGTTCCATTTCACTTGTCCGTGTACATGCACGATAACCAAAATCTTCCGATTGCCAAAAACAGTGTAAAAGTTTTACCTTACAACCCTCTAAGTTTTTCATATGAACACAAAGTTACGGCAACCAAAGTTGCTTCTTTTACAATCAGTCAACCTCAATTGACCAAAACCTTTGAAGGCGTCATCAAATTGAAAGGTAAGGGTCAACTTAAGTTCTTTTAGTGAAATCAACCTAAACTATAGCAATTCCCCATTATAGCTTCGCAGGATATCGGTTTTAGAACCCTTAAACCCTAACCCCAGAGCACAGTTGTTCGACACACATACCAGTACAGGGAAAGAAAGATTTGGAGGCGCGAAAGCGGGGGCCATGTTGGGTGACTCGCTCGTGAGCACGGAGACGACGGAAGAAGGTCGCTGGGGGCTTCGTCGAGCTAGGAGTGGGCGCCGGTGCCCGGGGAGCGCTAGAGAAAGGGCGGTGATCTGCGGCCGCAACGAGAACATCTTCGGGGATGCCGGGTTCGCTAGAGAAAAGACGACGTTCTCCGGAAGCAACGAGAACATCTTTGGGGATGCCGGAGGAGGAGGAGGTGGTTACTTGTCAGCGTCCGAAGAGGCCGATTAGGCCTCGAGCGGGGAAGTCGAGTGCACTTGGACCGGGGAACATGTCAAATTTGAGCTCATGTTCGACCCGGGTTAAAACTTCGCCCTTTTAACGAACCCAATCCAAACGTGACTTGTTCCGATTGGGTTCGACTAAACAAGTAACCAATATATATATATATATATATATATATATATATATATATAATGAAATACTAACATCTTCCCTCAGCTAATTATATTTATTCCCTCTCATCCTCATCAAGCTCATGTGGATCACAAGATATACTCTTACTTCCAAGTATAAATATGTAAATATCTAACATAGACAAAAAAAAAAGATTGTTTATAGAAAAATCAAAACCTATATTCATCTCTTACAATTTACAAAAGAAAAAAAAAGGACAAATGGTTGATCTTCTGAGACAACATAGCTGAAAGTAGATCATATTTGTGCAATTAGTCATTGAAAAGAAATTTACCCCATTTTCACTGTCAAACATGAAGGCAAATCTACTCTGGGAAATCTTGTATTCAGGTTGGAGAATAAAATTACACAACACCTAACCTCAACTTAACAATCAACAAACTCCATAATATAAATAACATAAGTTTGCTTCTTCTTATCACTGTGAAGCTATTTGGATTTTTGCTGTAAGGAAATTGTACAAATAGAAAATAAAAAATTGACAAAAGCACTTGCCCTACTGCCATCGTTTTGGAAGCTTGGATGAAGGCACTGCTACTTGAGTTGTGTTTTTACTTGTACCTGGCATTGTAAGAGAAGCTGATGAGAGAATATAATGCTGCAAAGAACATGACCATTGATGAACATGCAAATGCAAGAGTGTACCATCACACCCTTAACTATGTTATGTTTGGTTGAAGATGAGGTTGATAGTCGAAGCCATGAGAACATCCTCTTTGCTTGTGGAGCTATGCATAAATTTTCTTTACTGTTTCATTATTGTTATTTGTCACTGAATCAGAACAAATACCAGCTCGGTATCCTGTTAAGGTTAATATTCATATGTCATGTAAGAATTGCATGTTTATGGTTCCTAGATCACTCAGTATGAAACATTAACTGAAGATGAATTAAAGTGACATTATTGGTTTGAAATTCTGATTCATTAATGACAAATATATCAACATGTATTAGGAACCATTCTCTAGGTTAACACAGACTGCTTTCAACATAATTTATATGTATATATTTGATATTCAAAAAGGGGAGAGAGAGAGTTCCATCACAGGAATGAAAACAGTTAGCAGTCATAAACAGATATTCTACAAAAGAAACCTACTTACTTGGAGACTTTATGGTATCTCTTAATCTTGTTCTGGATGCTGGGACTTGTCCAGTCTTCCGCGAAGGTGGCTTAGGTGCTGGAGTTGGATTTTTAGGCCTGTAATTATAATGTAGCTACAATTAGTATCTAACATAGTATCTCAAATAATTTAGGCCTACTGTATTTGCAACATCACTGAAAGAATCCATTTTTGCATGACATTGTTGAGTTTTCATAAATAATTCTTCTTAAAATTTCAGGTTCATACTATTACTTATGTAGTAGTAGTCCATAATTGCCTGATCGCAAACAAGTGGAATTTTTAAAGCTACATTAGAAAAGTCCATCATGCTCTATTTATTATAGGAAATGCATGCAAGATTCCTGAGATACTTACAGTTTCTCTTTGGTGATTTCTAATGATTTCACTTGTTCAGAGAGGCCATTAAACTCAACGAGACTGCCAGTTGAACCATCTGTTTCTGTTCCCATGGAAAGATCACCATCTGATAGATATTCCTCTGAATCTGCATCACCATTGCCCAAATGCTCAGGATCAGCAGAACTCTGATCTGCTATGACTTTTATGAGCTTTGACTGGCCCAAAATTTCCTTCTGGTGCCTTCTGTCATCTGCGGACAGTTGAGAACCAGATTCAGAATGGTCACCACTCTGCTCTGAGAAGTTCTCATGATCTGAACCCAGTTTCTCATTAGCCACTACCCTTTCATTAGATGACTTCTGTTCTTGTTGAATGGTCCCACCTAGCAATGAAATGCCACAAGGGGAGGAGGATGAATGCCTCAATGAGTTACTATTATGTCGTAATCTAATGTCTTTTAGCTGTTGGAGCTGCTCAATTTCTTCATCTTTCCTTGCAACAATATCTTTAAGTGATGCAATCTGCAAGTAGAAAAAAGAAGAAAAAACTGAATCCTAGCAAAATAATTAAAAAGCATCGTTCTGCTGAGAACAAGAAATTGGTATTGAAGCAAAATAAACATCTGGGCAGCAATCATTCCACAACTCACATGCTTATATATGCATGATAGAGTTATAGTTCATGGTGAAATATTATATTATCTACTTTCTTCATCTAAATTAGGCATTTCAGATCTTTGTATGATTAGTCAGAGATGAAAATCAATGGCCCTTCCTGGACTCCTTCAAAAGTCATCAATTTTGTTTTGGGAACTCCATAGTATATTTGCATAAGACATTGATATGAAACACAGATAAATATCAAATTTTAAACTTGTCGTTAGACATTCTCCAAGGAAATGGCCTCAAAAAAATTAATGAACCTTCAAAGTGTAAGCAAGAGACTTTGTTTAGAACATTTCGAATCTATGCTGAAAACTCACCAATTCATAGATGCAAGACCTTTCTTAGTGGTGCTTCACGAATTCTAGATATACATAGGTCACTCAACCAGATCTGGGGTTTCTTTTGTCTCCACTTAAAAATTAAAAATACTATTAGAGCTAGCTCTGCTAAAAGTTAAGGTCTTCCACATTTCCATTGAAGGCTTTGCATGGTGAAGAAATTTAGAAAACCTAAGAGGCTAAGAAACATTTTGAACCTATTATCTCCTTTCATATGTAATTAATTAATTGTAGCATTTGTTAGAGAGTGTAAAAGACAAAATGTGTGTATATAATGAACAGGAATAGAATCATTAAATTATCATAAAATTGAAAAACGAAAAATATAAATGACTAGCACAAAGAACCTGTTCCATCAAATCTCTTATATCTTTCCCTTCTTTTTGACTCTTTGCAGCACCCAGCTCCACTCCAGATACCCTTTCAGCAAATTTTAAGGTACTCGAAGTCTCAGAATAAGATCCTATATCTGGATTTATCTGTACAAACATAAGTGTCTTAGCATGTCCACCTGCATAATAAAGAATGAAAAATCTCATGTCTATTTTTAGTGAAAAAAGACCAATTGAAGGGGAGGATTTCATTAAATAAAGCTCAACTTAAACTGAAACAAATAAAGCAAATGCCATTTAAAAGAATGTAGATGGGTACCTAAAGAACTTTGCAACACTTGAGTCAGTTTGCTATTTCTATATGGCACATGAGCACTTTTTTGTGATAGAGCATATATAACATCTCCAAGAGCAGACAAAGATTTGTTGATATGTTGTGCTTCCTTAAGTCTATCTCCTGTAACTTCGGAGCGATCAACTCTCTCACTTCCAGCAAGATCTACCAGATGAAGAGAGCCTCGCAAAGTAGCTCCAGTTTTCAAATCCATCCCTCGAACATGAACTGTCACAATGCTGTAAAAGAAAGGTAATGTAATACCAGATGACATAATGCAGCGAAAACACAATTGCATATAGATGACAAAATTTAAACCTGTGTGACCGGCTACTCCTTTCATTGAGAGCAGTAGCACCCACAGCCCTATTACTGTGTCCTATATGCATCAACTCTAGTACATCAGAAGTTGATTTAACAGGAAGCATACTTGCATCAGGGACAGCAAGTCCATTGGGCAGTGAATTACTCAAAATCCCAAGTGTGTGCAAGTTAAAGGGAAACAGCAGGTATAATCTATACCACATAGAAGCTGGGATAACATGAGTTTGGTTAAATTTGAAATCATAAATCTCTGTAACAAAAGAACAGAGCATATTACTTGGAATAGAAGGAAACAAAGGAACTATAATCACACAGAAAAAAACATTAGAATGAAAATTCAAGAACAAGATTAGATTGCAATGAACCTTGATACTATGATAGAACAATAATAGAATGAAAAAAACTGTGGAGAAAAGGATATTTCTTTTGTGTGCCATCACTTGCAAGCAGATCACGGACTTGTTCATTATATATTTCAACCATCTGGACACACACTTCATATACGTAGGCATCTCTCCTATTCCAAGATATATGAAATAGATCATTTAGGGCTCGGTAATTGACACCCCACTCCTTTTCAGTTGCCGAGTGTGGTCCAGTCTGAAACAAGACTTTCATCATGTTATGAGGATGAAATAAGATGTGGAAAACGTAATTTGAAATAGCTAGATATATAAAAATATAAACAATGATCACCATGGTGTACGTTTTTCCTGATCCAGTCTGACCATATGCAAAAATGCATACATTATAACCATCAAGAACTGATCGGACTAGGGGCTGAATGTCCAAGAAGACTTCCTCTATTACAGCATCAGAAAAGAAGTTGCTTAGCAATCGATAAAACAAATGCAAAATACCTACTATGGTTGAACTGTCGTAGTCAAACAACAAATTTTATTGCCATTTCATTCAAATAAATGCAATAAACAACAAAAGAAAAAGGAAACTAAAAAGCTAGAGATTTTAACAGATGTATGATAACCTTGAGTGGCAGCTGGACCGAAGACCTTATTGAACTTGAACATCCGCTGTACATCTTTTCCCTGTTTGGAGGGATTTGCAATAAGAAGCTCACCATTGTCACCAATATACTCTGTGGTAGTCTGTTTTACATTTTCCCCAGGAAGAAATGGTCTTATTCGGCAATAAACTCTAATATTTCCTACACAGAATACATTAGCCAGAGCCAAGATGTAACTATGTGCTAAAACTATAATATCACATGATGACAATTAAATGTTAAATGGACACCTCTTAGTTCCTGAACCTCATTGTACAATCTCCTGTTTTCTGCAAGGACGGTATGATAATTCTCTGCTGCATCAGTCAGTAATTTCAGTTGTTTCCCTGCACAGAAGAATACAATGCATGTCTAAAGAGGTACTGAAATTTTAGTTAGAATGTAGTATCAGCAAATCATGTCTTACCAAATCTGGTAAATTCTTCACACCATTTCTTTTGTGTAATTCTGACTTCATGCTTTATGGAATTGGAAGATGACCTCAACTCCTGGAAGAAACACTAATGCTCAGCCTTGAGCATCATATGAGGAACAACTTACAACAAGCTTGAGCGTGATATACCTGCACTGATTGCAGTTGAAGATCTATAAAACTCTGAAGAACAAGTTCCCTTTGATTCCAATTCTGAAATTTAGATTCAGAAATTGTCCCTAACTCTTCTATTCTCCTTTGTGATTCTGCCAAATAAGATTTAGCATCTTTTAGCTTTTGCTCCAACTTTGTTTGATACTCCTTGGCCTTAGTTTCCATTTGCTGAAATTGCTCTTCATATGTTCTTTTTATTATTTCCAACTCCTGCTTAAGTTCTGAAATTATCTGGTCAGTTTTTTCCTTTTCCTTTGTTAGCCTAGCCATATCTTCTTCACCAAGTTTGTTTCTCTCTTCAATTTTTCGCTTTTCTGTCTGCAAAAGGACAATGATCAATATCAAACATGTGAATACAATTTGTTCCAAAAATGATGGGAAGACCTTGGTCAGGCTCAATATAGCCACTAACACACTTCAACCTAAACACTATTGTGTTTTGACCTTTGCTAATTTACTAGATCACATCAAAAAGTCTATTGGTTGTTAGTTCTGGTTTCTTTCAACTCATTATCTGTTATATATGTTCATTACAGTTCGTCCAGATTTTTTGTATCTCAATTCATTTACTTCATTAGGAAAATGGAAACTGTAGCACTAAGAAAAGGAAAAGGCTGCAGTGACAGGATTCACATTCGCTGGGGCAGGAGCATACATCTATCTTCATATTGGAGTTTTATGGACAACAATATCATTGGTGATCTTTACTAATAAGGCTTGCCTCTATATGGAAGGTCAATAACATCTGCTGCTCAAAAACAGCACTCTGCAAATACTTGATGTCATAAAACTCACCAAGTATGTTATGAAATCACTAATAAAACATCATTAGCAATCAAAGAATAACAAATGTTTCACGCTTGTAATGCAGAAGTATCCATGTAAGAATAGCGTTGAAGTAAATTGACGATATATCAATTCAGATAAGAAGCTAATTGCATCAACATACCAATGACAGCACCATACAGAACATGGCACATATCAATGAGACGTAATGTTAGTTTTCAACTGAGACGGGCTATACTATGGCAAGTGAACCATTTCTATTGATACATTTCATATTACACTATTTGTTACCATTTGACTGATAAATTATGTTTATTGGAGTGAAATGTGGTGGATATTGTATAGTTCTACAAGTACTGAAGTTTGAGTTAATTTCTGCATACTAATAGAATTAATATCTAGATTGCACCTTTTTTAATGAAACAGAAATGTTGCTTACAATGGAACTGATGAATTATGACTATTGGTTTTTCTATGGTTATGAAGGCATTAGCCATCAGAATATATCAACCATGAAGCTTTGGTTAAACTATAGAAGATGTGTCCAAAAAGAATTCAGGGATCCTTGCTACATAAATGAAGTCAATCGGGTAACTACCTCTAAAGAGTTCATGACCAAAATTATTATTATATAGATTAGTCCATCGGTCGTATACATGTCCCAAAGAGTGCCAAAATCAGTGAAGATTACCTTATTTTGATTTAAATGACATACAAATTCTACAAATTCCTGAAGTCATTCTCAAAGTCACTTTTGCAGCCTTGTGAAATCATTAAAATTACAGGCAAACAAAAGATGGGAAAATAAAGACATAATCTGCAGAATAATAGCCTTATGAGTTGAATAGATTGCAGTTCTGTTAAGAAACAGACCTTTAGCAGGTGGAGCTGGTTCATAGCTATCTGAAACATAAAGGATGAGAAAAGAACCATTTTATTATGGGATTGAAAGAAGAACATTGCACTCTAAATCCATAGGATATGATTGCTGCATCTACTAAAATTACCTGTGTTTCTTCTTTCGTACCAGTTGCTAGCGTTTCAAGCACCCTAATCCTTGATTGATACTTCTCCTCACGTGCTTTAATGAGATTATTTTGCTACAGAAAAGAGAGTCATAAAATGTTTGAATAGAAATAAATGTAAAATCACCTTGTCTTACATTTCTTATGTGCTCTGCTTGAGTTGAAATACGTCGTTCAATCTCTTGCACAACTTTTCTCAACCAGCATGGCAGACGCTGGGGAAAAGAACAATAAAATCAAAGCTTTAAACAATAAAATCTTTTGTCCTATTTCTTTGTATGGAACATCAACTGCCAGAATATATTAAAAATTAAGGACTACAGGAAAAGATATCATATAATGAGCACATAATTGGTATGAGGACTACACATTAATACAATAGACCAGCATGTAAGTAAATTCTCTTATACTTGATTACATACTTGAGGTATTTCTCCATTTTTGCTCTCGATGCTTTCATCGACAATGCCATTTATAATACTCAAAAGAGATTGAGTTGGGGCATTCTACAAAAAATATACTTCAATGCTTAACATATAACTATATAAAAGATAGTGAAAACTAAGTGTCTCAATTATGAATTTAAAAGATTACATCTAAACTATTTGATTTCATCGTTTCTGAGAGCTTAGCTGGAGGAAGATCATAATAATGCCCTTGTTTCAATTGGAAAACCTCATGGAATTTGTGTCCACCATGATGAAATTGTGGAGATGATGGCTCTGTAAAAGGTGGATATAGTAATTAAAGTTTATAAATGAAATTTTATAACTATATGGCAAAATGTAACTTCTTTGCAGTAAGCAAATAATATCATGAGCACAAGGAATGCTCCAAAACATAGTGTAGTTTGAAAATATTTTCATAGCAGAGAGGAGAATAGATATGCTTCTAAAGAATATAACAGATCTATGCTTCCACAAAAAGGTGTGCAGCATCACTTGCGTTATATATATATATATACATATATATATATATATACATATATATATATATATACATATATATATATATATATATAT